TTAATTTTTAAAACTACGATAATTTAATGTTAAATATTTGATAAAAAAGTTTTCATATTTATAATTTTATCTTACTCGATACATTAATTTATATCTAACTTATTAAACATATAGAGAGGCGCCCGTGGTTAAAGACAAAACAAAATTCAACTATAATAAATATTGGATTAAATTAAATTTGAAATATCTTCTAAAGTATACAACGGAATAAACAAAGCTATTCCAACATAAATAAAGCTATTAAATTAAAATAAAACCTTTTATTATATTTAGTGTTGTCAATAATGCAGTTTAACGATAATTTCCCTATCATGGCACTTTAAAAAAAATTCTCTTTTTCTGCTAATGTTTTATGCTGAGAACATCCCATGGAAGTCTGAAGAATTTATGCATGTGGGTAAATTAGTCTAATATTTTACTCGATTTTGTGTGGGTGCTGTTTTTATCGATAAACAAATACAATTATTGTACATCAGTAGAATTGATTAAATTATTGTAGATCGAGTTTAATCAACTCTACATCTGTGAAGTCATACTTAGTATTCAATGCTAATATCAAACACAAGTACAAATAATATTTTAAACTCGTCATAACTAACAAATTTCACCCGTGCAAGATCAAAGAATAAACCAAACTCTTTAAATAGTTCGCCAATGAAGTCTTCGATTCAATATGAAACTTAAATTTAGGATATGTTGATGCCAAACCATCAATAACAGCAAAATAAATGCGAAAATGTATTTAAATTCGTCGATGGACTGAGATTTTTTAATCTTCATGGTGAAATCTCGAATCTTATTGGTCTTTCAAATTAGCATAATTATTTTTAATATAAAATCTGAAAAATATGTTTATAATTTGATCAATTTAGAAAGTAATCTCATAAACACTATATTACAAGTTGATAATAATGATATATGTGATCATCTAGTCGATACATCGATTAAAGTCATAAAACATTTAAATGATCCACATAAGATTCTTCATTTTATCTAGTGATGGTCGAATGGTTCATTTGTTTTGAGAATAAGTATCACATAAAAAAGTTAGTTTGAAGATTCATTATATTCTTCAATGAGTATCTATATAGATTGTCAATAAATTTTAACTTTATAATTTAACTGGATGATGTAACTAGTCATTCCAAATTATATAACTATCAATAAACTTCTAATTTGCAATATCATACGCTTTAATTATAATTCAGAGGAGAATGCACCATTTTTTCAATATATGTTTAATACCTAAGTTATATTTGTAATTTGGGGATATTTATCATCACTTTCAGTTATAATTTGATATGACATTCATTTAAGTGAATATTCTTTGAATTAACAAAATTCTTTAAAATTTTAGAGATTACAATGCATCTTTATTTTAATTTAATTTCCATCGATAATAATATACAGAGGCGGACCCAGGACAAAAATTAAGAGTTGCACAAAAATTTAGGCGTATCCAAATGATCACAAAACTGAAAATATGTGCTTGATTTATAGGCTTAAGGTTGTTTTTTGGGCTTGATCTTTTTTTTTTAATTTTAAATAGAATATTATTTTTTTCCTACAATAAAGAGCAGCAATTACACACAATATTAAGGGTGACACTTGTATTAATTAAAAAAAATTAGAAAAAATTAACACTAAGTAGATAATTTTGTGGGGTTGCCTGGGATACCCAGGGCAACTATAAGGTCCGCCCTTGATAATTTATTTGCTCTTTTAGAGGCTTTGGTAACTTTTGCACTTTTAAAGTAGTACTCACATTAATCTTATATATTGTTAAACGATAAAAATATTTCTTATACATAAGTATAGTATGAGTAGTTACATGGGTATTAAGCACAGTTTTTTTATCATTTATTGCAAATTATATTTGAGCATATTGTTAATAACATAACAAATTTGTAATACTCCTTACTTGACCTTAACATAATAATAAAATCGATTGTGTCATTTTATATTAAGGGTGTTTAATTCGAACAAAAACTCCCATTTATAGAGGTAATAAAAGACAAATACAACTCGAGATGAATTTTTTTTTATTATCTGTGTTACGAGCTTTACAAAACTGTTATTTATAGGATTAGAACTCTAACAATATAGGAGGTATGAACAATTACATTAAAGATTAAGAATACGAAATATGAAAGGATATCAACATGAATAGTATTCATAATAAATAAAAACTATTGTGAATGATCAAGTCATTGAAACCAAAGTGGCCGAATTAATAGCACGTGTTGTGGGAGAGAGATTTTGGAAGAAGTGGGCCCAGGACCACCAGAGCAACCAACAATAGCTCCTATATGTACTGCTCATATAGAATATAGTAGAAATTTGAGCAACCAACATTAGCTCCTATATGTGTCCCCGAAATACATGGTAAATTTCTCATCACTTTCTTCTTCGATTATTATATTACATCCTACCCAATGCAATTCTTAGGGAGAAATACAAAAGCTATAAATTAAAATAATAATTATATATGAATAAATTCATTTAATCTCTCACTTTCAAAAACAGTTTCTATTCGTTAATTAATTCCTGTTGATGAGTAAATTTCCATGAAACCACGCATTTCAAGAAAAACATGGCACATTTTTGTTCGACAAGGGCTACGGATGGAAGCAGGGAATTTGGGCTTAGCTGTTTAATCGTCAAGAATTGACGCATGTCGGGAATCACAACAAAGCGGGAGAGCTCAATGATTGATTGTTGCTGATTCAGCATGTGCTTTCTCTGAGAGTGAATATTAATTTCTTAAATATGTAAACAAGTACTGCTTTGTCGTCTTTCTTTATGTTTCCTCCCATTGTTGTCCATTTTTTACTTTATAGCTACTAAATTCGCGCCCCCACAAGGCAGATTCGAAAAAGATCTCGAGTGTTTTCTGGCCAAAGAATTTCTTCAAATGCTTAAAATGTGTTTCTGCTCTTCATTTGTCTTTGTTAGATTGATGTTACAGGATTCCATGGATTTTTCTTCGGAATTATTAGTTGAATCGATCAACAGTGTAATTACCATATACTACAAATGATCATATATAAATAGTTAAAAGGTAACTTTTTTCAAACACTGATGATGTTGTTGGTATAATTTCCACAAGCATTGCTTTTGCTTTTGCTTGTTCTGCTTCTGCTTCTGCTTCTGATTCTGATTCTGATTCTTTTGTCAGAAAATGGTTCGATCGTGTTTAATCTAGGGGGTTATGTTCTTTTGAGTGAAACCAAATAATATAATCCTCCCTAGTCATCGATAGTAAAATAGAGCTATTTTGGCCATTAATGATAGATGCTAATAAGGGAATTGCATGTTGAGCAGATGGGCTTTGGGGCCGATTCTCAGAGGCGATAATAGGGACTTTAATGCTGCCAACACTCATATTTGTGGAGTCGGGAGGGATGTTTTATTGGTTATTAAATACCTCACATACAGGGCCGTGGCTAGGTTTTCGGGGAACCTGTATAAATTCTTATAAAGGGCTCCTATTTTTTAGATATATTAGATTTTGGGGTAATAATAGTAGCGTTTTTGACAAACGCCGCAATAGATCTATCTATAGTGAGTTTTTCAATAAAACCGCAACAATAGTGACGTTTTATTTTTGAAAAAAAAACGTCACAATATGTCCATCTATAGTGGCGTTTATTGAAAAACGCCACTATAGATATACTTTTTGGCCCCCTTTTTTGGGGCCTGCGCCGTCGCACAGTTCGCACCTCCCAGCCACGGCACTGCTCACATATTATATTTATTAATTGGTTGAATGATAAAATATATTTATATTATCTGATTTTATGTAACTTAATAAAAAAAATTACCTTACAAATAATGACTATATATAGAGTTCAGTATGGAAATTTTGATAAATGAGAACGAATCTTTTTGCTCGGCCTTGGATGAAATTTTGCTCGCAAATAAATGAAGGCCTAGGAAATCATCTTGCTATTCACTGAAGATGACGAAATGCTAGAATGTTGTGTATATCGAAATGAATGTTCGTTCTTCACGTATTCTTGATTTGAGGTTAAAAAAAATATTATTCTTTTTAGATGATTCAGATTCGATCAGTCCCGATTATAAAGTATATATTGTAAATGACTAAAGAAGATTTTAAACAAATATTATCATATAATCACTCTAAATTATAAAAATATAGAAAATAAATTATATTAAAATGTTGTGTATATCGGAATGAATGTTTGTTGTTAATGTATTCTTAATTTTCCAGTGGGTTGTATTGAGAATGGATGATAAAAGTTTAAAGGTGCTAAATTTCACGTTTTCCTAGTCAATCTTGTTTGTGTGGGTATTTATATGTCTAACATCAAATAGTAGGGTGAGCGATGAAAGTTTTAGGATTGATGATTATTGATAGATTGACAGGTGAATAAATTCAACTTTCAAATAATAAATAAATATAGTTGACGATAAAATTGACAATAGTAAATCAAAAGACTATAGTCGAGTAGAGAAACAGGGGGATTATTTCAAAGTTGATCTGCGTGGAGGCGTAATCAAGATTGAAACATTACTAGGTTACTTTCAGGCGATGCTGTTAGATGCTTTACCTTATGTTAGAGAGATTAAAAATCCCAGAATACTGCCTAGGTGATAATGTTGATTATGTCTTAAAAGAAATCCGATTAAGATGAAGAAATTATTGATTCCTTCACTGGATTTGGATCCTACGATTTTTAGCAAGTATATGAACCCTCCATATTAATCTTCCACTCAATCCCTTCACTTGATTAATAGTTGTTAACTTCGTCTTTTGGCAACTCGAATAATTTGCATAACCATTTCAATGATATTTACTTAAGTGGGTTACATAAAGTGAAAAATTCGTATTCTTCCGTGGGGCATGACCGAAAATGCCTTGTGTCTCCTCTTTCCCTTCTTTCACTTGCCATCTTTAGTCATTTAATTCCATACTTAGCTTCGGTTTCAAGCCAAATTTACTTAATCCTTTTTAGAAGAAACAAGAATCTGAGCTTTTAAGCTTTATGAAAACACCAGTTCATATGGTTTCTTTAGAGACGATTGAAAAGAAAAACCGACAAACACCATGAAATACAATGAGATTTCCCATTTCAGCCACCCCCAACACATTCTAAAATTTGAGTACACTGAAGTTCCATTCAAGTGTGATGGGTGCAAAGAAGTTGGCATAGGCTCACGTTATCGATGCTCCTTCTGCGATTTTGATCTCCACATGCACTGCTCTATGCCGTCTATTTCGATTTCTCACCCTTTCTACACAAAATGTTCATTTCAGTTCCTCTCGAGGCCCCCTGGTGACACTCCTCGCTACTGCAACGCCTGTGAAAAGTATGTTACCGGCTTTGTTTACCATTGCGAATCGTGTGGATTCGATCTACATCCATGCTGTGCAAAGCTACCAATGGTGTTAGATGATGGAGAAGTGAAACTGTATCTGTATAGGAAGGTGAGTTCACCGTGTCATCGATGTGGTCGAAAAGGGAGGAGCTGGAGTTACCGATCGGATTGCAAAAAATACAACTTGCATGTGGCATGTGTTAGGGAAATGTTGGTGGAGAATTGGCATGAATTGTACTTCGGAGATGGTGGTAAATCGCTGAATCGAATTCCGAGCTTGAAGAACACACTTGAAACCAGTCATAAAAGGAGTAAAGGTAAGGTTAAGAAGTGTTGTGAAATGGCTGCTTTGGCTTTGCAATTTGTTATCTCAGCTGTGCTTGGTGATCCAACCGCTCTCATTGCTGGGGTTATTGCTACTTTTATGTCTAGAGCTTGAAAATGTCGTCCCGTTGATGCTGTTTAAGGTAGGTGTCCGTAAAATAAACAAAAAATAATTAACTTCTGTTGTATATAAATCCCAAATTCTATTTTTCTTTTCAATTTTCGTTGTGTGGTAAGCCGTTTTAGGAACCTAATTGACGTCATTGCTTGTATAGTTTTCTACAAATGATGACAGTTCTGTAATCACCATTATTCAACACTCGATGAAAATGGTCACTACCCAACATTTTAAACTTGGATATTAAATATATTCATTTTAAATGTTGAATCTAAATTGTTCTTTTAAAGATCTAGGGTTCAAATAATTTCATTTGTAAGATGTGTATTAATTAATTAATGACTGAAAATATTTTAAATAAAATATTACCTGATAAACAGATTAACTGTGCAAGCTAAATAAGGGGTTGGGAATATATCTTCTTTCCAACCCACAAACCCCACCTTCAATTAGGCCGGGGCTTGAAAAAAGAAGAACAAATTTGAGCTTGAATGGATTCGGTCAGTAGGAACAATGGGTAACATATTGAAGGTGAAGAGGACTTTGGGCTTGAATGGATTTAGTCAGTGGGAACAAAGGGTAACCCAATATGTAATAACAAATTTTAGTGAGGATGAACCATTCATTTATTTATTATATTAAAGAAATAATAATTTATTTATGTGCTCACTTTATTAAAAAAAATTATGTTTATTTTAATTAGTTATATATAACTATTACTCCGAAATATACATGTTTAATTAGTTTATATAAAAAAAAGTAAATATATTCATTTTATTGTTTATAAATATTTTTAATAAACTTTATTTAACGTTAATGAACATATTAGTTTTGTATTTATAAACATGTTCGAAGACAAGTAATTTTAAATTAACACAAACTTAAAAGTAAATAGAAGAAAATAAATAAAAGTGTATTCGATCAAAGTTGATTTATGGTCCTAAGATTGTGGGGGTTTAACACTTTAGCTTAACGCTACCAGTATTCAGTAACGTCACATAACATAGCCTAGCACAAGGGTCACTTTTGTTGAATTGCATAAACTTCAAAGAAGACGATGGTTAAGTGAAGAAATCGAGGTGCATTTTTAAGGTTTTGACGATATCAACAAAAAGGAACAACTTACCAGTACTGCAGATTCTGGGAACCACTTTAACTCCAGTTTGTCCAACGTTGTTTGTGTCTGAAAGAAGATTACAGTGTAACCTGTAGGAATCAAAACCGAAAATTTGTTTCTCCATTGGGTTTTCAGGAAGTCGATTACTAAATCAAGCTCGTGCAACATACAACACTCGAACACTGACGAAAACATAAATCAAGCAAGATCTTTTTTTGTACAGATGGGTTGACAGTTAAATCACCTACGTATTGCACAAAAGCAATTCATATTGGATCCTGATTAGGCTAAATTAGTAGTACTGTGACGAAACTTGAAAATGGTAGTGCCGATAACAAGGATGAATTTTCAGTAGCTGAGAGGGAAAAAGCCAAGCTTTCACATGGCACCCACTATATCACTATGTATGGTCTAATCATAGGTCAATTTATGAACAAGCAATGGGTATAGGCTACAATATGAGATACAGAATTTGATTATCGGACTGTACCACAGTTATCAATTTAATAACTATCCAGTTCAGTTGGTAGAACACAAGTTTCTTAACTTGAGGTCGTGGGATCGAGTCCCACGGAAGGCATTTCATAATTCGGATGTCTACTACAAAAGCTGCTCTCAACATGGTATTGGTGGCAGCCTACTATCTTACCTCCCCCATACGACATTACATATAGGAACAAGGAACAACCATTTATATTTACATCTGTAATCCACAATGGGCCAATCCTTAGTGGCTTGATGACATGTTATTTTCAAATGTAAGTTGTACACAACTTAATACTAAATTAATCAAATCACGTTAGTATTTATATATAAACAAATATTTGACATATTGTCGTTAAATATTTTAATCTTACGAAAACTGTTTAAATATGGATACGTATACTATAAGGGTGCGTTTGGTTCACAGAATGTAAGATTATCAGTGGGAATAAAAGATTACCAGAGAATAGGATTACTGGGAATGTAGTATTTTGTGTTTGGTTGGTTTAGCATGAATGTAAGATTACCGTGTTTGGTTAAAGGAATAAAAGATTATTAAAATGTATATTTGACTAAATTGTCCTTATTATATATTTGTATAATATTACAAATTGTAAAATATTTATATATTTTCTTTAAAAAATTAAATTCATAATATTTATATATTTTTTTACAAAATTAAAAATATAAAAAGGTTTAATGAAAGGGTAAAAAAAATTTAACCCCTGAACTTCATATAAAATTTTAATTATAGACTTTTTTTGTAAATCTAAAATAATTTAAGGATAAATTTATAATTTAACCTTCGTAGAATTTTTATTATTCAATGACAGAAGAAGGATATTTTTAAAAAAAATAAAAATTTAAGGGCATTTTATATCAAAACGCCGGTAATGTTACAATACCTAAGGGAATGGAGGTAATCACATTCACGGTAATATACCCCAAAAATCTACTATTGGTAATAAAACATTACTGGTAATGAAATTCCCGGTCAACCAAACATGGGAATGTGGGATTCTCATCCTATAGGAATCTCACAATCTTTGAACCAAACACCCCTAAGAATAGTGACCCATGAACTTCAGGGGGAAAAAACTAACTCGACCCTTAAATATTATATAAAAATTAATTTATCCCATAAATTTTAATTAAAATGTCAATTTAACTCTTAAATCTAACCAGATTTCACTGGTTGTCATTAACCACTTGCATCAATTACGGTTGATGACTGTCAAGTGTTGTCATCGGTAATTGTTAGATTTCAAAGTTTATAGTTCATATTTAAATACTTCAAACTCTACAAATCTAATATAAATCCTTTGATTAATCTTAAGTAAATATAAGGCAATATATATAAAAAAAAGATAACATAAATTCTTTGATTTTTTTAAAATTTAAATCATAATTATAAATATATATATATATATATATATATATATATATATATATATATATATATATATTGAAAGAATGGTAACAAAGCAAATTTGGTAGGGGCAAAGGCTGTCCCGAAGAGAAAATATGGAGGAAACAGAAATTTTTAGAAGATTAAAATTTTAGAGTCAAAAGTAGATTATAATAAAAAGGTAATTGTAATATATAATAATTTAAAATTTTTCAAGATATTATCCCACCAAACTACCCTCGATTAGCCTAAAAAGAGAGGAAGTAAGGTGGTGTTTGTTTTTGCAGAGGTAAAAGGTATGTAGTTTGCGGATCACATTTGCAGACATCCGCAGCAGAAGAGGTGGACCAAAAGTCTGCAGTCTGCAAGAAGAAGACTATTTGTTTTTTAACGTCTGCAGACTACTAAAATGAACTGAAATATAAATAAACTGATTTTTTAAACTTAAAAGAGTTTTACAATACTAAGATTTAAACAATTTTAGTTTTGCAATACTGAAATTTAAATAATCCATACAACTACAATAATAAATTATTTAAAATAAATCAATCCATATTTTAAAATAAATCAATTCATACTAATAAATTATTTAAAATAAATCAATCCATACAACTACAATAATAAATCAATCCATATTTCAAAATAAATCAATCCATACTAATAAATTATTTAAAATAAATCAATCCAAATTTTAAAATAAATCAATTCATACTAATAAATTATTTAAAATAAATCAATCCATACAACTACAATAATAAATCAATCTATATTTTAAAATAAATCAATCTATACTAATAAATTATTTAAAATAAATCAATCCAAATTTTAAAATAAATCAATCCATACTAATAAATTATTTAAAATAAAGCAATCCAAATTTTAAAATAAATCAATCCATACTAATAAATTATTTAAAATAAATCAATCCATACAACTACAATAATAAATCAATCTATATTTTAAAATAAATCAATCTATACTAATAAATTATTTAAAATAAATCAATCCATAAAACTACAATAATAAATCAATCCATATTTTAAAATAAATCAACCCATACAAATAAATTATTTAAAATGAACCAATCCATACTAATAAATTATTTAAAATAAATCAATTCATACTAATAAATTATTTAAAATAAATCAATCCATACAACTACAATAATAAATCAATCCATATTTTAAAATAAATCAATATATACTAATAAATTATTTAAAATAAATCAATCCATATTTTAAAATAAATCAATCTATACTAATAAATTATTTAAAATAAATCAATTCATATTTTAAAATAAATCAATCCATACTACTAAATTATTTTTAAATAAATTAATCCATATTTTATAATAAATTATTTTATAATAAATTATTTTAAAATAAATAAAATTATTAAATTATTTAAAATTATTTTAATTAATAACTATATTTTATAATTGTTCTTGAAGAGGTTTGAAGACCTTTGAAGACATAAAATCAAATCTACACCAATAAGAGCTCGCGCAGACGTTTAAAGAGTTTTTGCATTATAAAAAATAAACATTCTGCGAAGCCTAATATCTGCCTGTAATCTGCGCGACTCAGAAATAAGTGATTTGAAGAGCTTGCACAGAAAAAAAAAAAAAAACATTACCTAAGAGTATAATCAACCTGATGCAAGATAAAAGAGTTTTTTCCAAACAAAATCACATGGTGAAGTCAGTGCGAAAAATTCGAAGTTAATGTACTACTACTAGTCTACTACCATCAACTCATTACTAGGCTGTGACCCTCTCAAGGGAGCAGCCATTATGTACCTTTATCTTGTAGATTTAGGGCTTCAAGAATTCATCTAATCAGGCCCCAATGAAGTATCTTTTTCAGTTTGGAAAACTACAAGGGTCCTAAAACGATATTCCCGAAAATCATGAATTAAAGGCAAAGAAGAAAGGTTTTTACTTTATGTTTTGCAAAGGTCAAAAAATACTCAAATCCCCAAAAGGGACTTCTTTTCTTTGGCACCGTTTTCATA